CCATACCCACACAATTCTCCACAACTACTGATTTTTTTCTGCTACACCCGGCTGCTACACCCCGCTTCTTCTTCTTGTTTACTACTGGTGGTTGGCTTTGGTCGCAGTACCGCCACCTTCTGCTCTGGAGTGTACACGCTTCGCCTATGAGAAAAAGGAGCAGCGCATGAACCGAACGCAACACACGCAAATCGAACAGAGACAGTCGAACTGAACAGTTCGGACGGTTTTCATAAACCGTTCCATCCCTACTACAGCTGCAACCAGCCCTTCTAAAAACCCAACAAATGCTGAAATAGCCTAATAATAAAATGAGTTTGACAATTGTGATCCAAGTTTTTACCCCGTCATTGATTTTGCAAAATGTTTCTCTGCTATGTTGTGGACTTTGCAGCTATCCTGCAAACCAAGCATGACAGTGGAAAAGGACAGGAAGAGTTTTAACTTAACAGGAGGAAAACCTCCAGCAGATCCAGGCTCAGTATGAACGGCCATCTGTCAATGAGCGCTGACTGAGCAAACACACTCAGGGAACAGGCACTGATCCATGAGTCTAGAACAGGGGTCCACAACCTGGGCTCTTTGGACCCTGTATGATGGCTCTTAATAGAGGCTAAAAATGATAGAAATAACTAACCAATATACTTTAACAATAAACACCAGTCTTAGGAGCTTTAGTGGTTTTTATAAAGAATATTTGAACTGAATTTTCACAACAAAACAGCCTAAAAATAATCTGATATCTGTTTTTTAGAGCCATTTTTCTTTTAATTTGCTTGGAGATGACATGTTTTATCATTATTTTAAAAGCTAAACCATTAATTTTTGCTGTTTCAGATGGCAACAGATACCCTACAACCGATATTTAATAAAAATAATATGTTGCCTTTTAAAGAGTTATGTTATATTTTGCTGCTCTAAATGACTTTTACCTAATCGGACTAGGGGAAAAATGGCTCTTTGGATATGACATGCACGCTGCCTCATCCTAATTAAAATATCAGCAGTTAGGATTTTATTCAGTGAGGTCATACATTATTTAAAGAAACATGCCAACGATGACACCCAGTGGTCCCTTCCTTGAGGATTAAAACAGCAGATGGTAAACAAGCGGGATAAAGAGCATTAATCTCTGAAAAGTTCAGTAAAAGGTTTGGTGATTAACTTTGGCTTAACAGAAGGGCAACGGTTACCTGTGAGCCTTGAACCGTAATGTAACTCCTGTTCAATTCTATTGCAAAGTATATTTTACTTTAGTTATATTTTACATTTGCATGTTTCCAAGCAATACAAGGCCTTGTGTATATAAAGACTCAAACTCACTGCTGATCCAGACATTTGAATTGAGAAAGCTTCCTGGGGAGAGGTGGCGAAACATCTTCAAACCTTTGAAACCAAGTCCAGTGGATTTTTTTTAAGTTTTCAGAATGACTATGACCTGGATGACTGCGAATCTTCATCAGCAAACATTTGCATAGTTACTTTCATTGTGCAGTAACTACCTAAGTTAGTTTTTGCAAATGTAACTGTAACTAGTTACTTTTTTTAAAGTAATGTATCCAACACTGGAAATCCCAACCACTAGTGGCAGCCTAGTGGTGAGAGGATTGTGCTTGAATCCAGGGGTACGGAGTTCAAGCCACAAATTCCCACAGACTGCTGCTCTGGGTTCCTGAGCAAAGACCCTTAACCCCACACTGCTTTTGGTGTCACACAATGGCAGCTCACTGCTTCCCAAGACGATGGTTTAAATGCAGGTAGTTTATTTTGTTGCGACGTACTTGTGGCAGTGTAATAACAAAACAAAAAAATCAGCAGCAGTGATGTCATTAGTAAACTAGATTGCTGGAAATGGGGATACGTGATGAGTAAACAATGGATAGAGATTGGGGCTGAGGACCTGTGTTCAGGAGGAGGGTGGATGATGTGCTTTACTGACACGGGACAGGAGGAAACCCACATGTACAGTTAACTGTCTCAGTCCAGATGGTTTAGCTTATTAGGCAGGCAGACGACTGAAAACTAGAAGGTTTGTCTAAAAGCCCAGAATTACGATAGAGTTTCATTTAGCATATTTGTTACAACTTCTCTCTATTTGTGAACAACTTGGTTTTATACAAGCATCTGGGGGGCCTTGGTTGCCATTGCCACCCCAACCTGGTGATTTGTTGTTCCTATTGAAACATAGTTTATGACCTCCAGAACAAGCAGTTCACCTCTAAAATAGTGATTCTCTAAGACTGAATGTTTTAACTTGATTTTTCAGTTGTTCATATATTAACAATAAACTAAAAACAAAATGACAGTTATCCTTTAAATAATCACAGAAAGATACTATAGTTAAATGGGACATGAACAGAATTACGCTCTTTTCTGAATTCCTAGGTTTTGTTTTTTATGTTGAAGGGGAAAATGTCTCTTAGACTTAGACGACTTTTATTGTCATTTTGTAAACAGAAAACGTCTTTGCAGTCATCAAGCAGTCTTCTATGAAATAAACAATAAAGAACCAGTTCTCAACAAGTAAATGTGTGCATTATGCACAACCATAACCAGTTTTTACAACATGCAATTAATAAATATTTGTGTATATTTATTAGTCTGTCTCCAATGATTTATTTGGTAAATTTGGCTGTTTTGCTCGTTCATTTTCATGTAGGTACAGTGTCATTAGTTTGGACTGACCCTAAACAGGTTTGGCATCTATCAACCCCCCGTTTTAGCTCAACCCCCCGTCTTTCTTCCAGGTTTCTGCCACCTGTTTATGCCAGAGGACAAGTACCCCAAAGGTTTTGCCTTTGATACAGATGATGTCAACTTCCAGACTGAAAACCTGTGCTTTGTGGGCCTCATGTCCATGATCGATCCTCCTCGCGCAGCCGTGCCTGACGCTGTGGGAAAATGCCGCTCAGCTGGCATCAAGGTGGGAACTTTTTCATCCTGACATCAAAATTAGAGTCTGACACGTCTACGTTAGACTACATACATCCCTGATATTAGGTACTGATTTTTATTTTTTTAATGGGGGGGAGAACTATCATTCTCTGGAACAATAATGCTTTTTATTTTTATTAACACAATGATGACAACTGTTGCACAAGTCTCAATTTAAACAAAAAAAAAATCTCAATGTTAGCAGATGGAGGGAGGGGCAATGCATGCACCTTACCTGATCCTAAGGCTGCACAAATAGATACGTGAAAACAGGCATCGGCTGATACCGATACAAGAAAACAGCTGATGTATTGTTCTATTTCTAATTTGAAACAATTTCCAGTCACATTCTGTTTATCTTTATTCATAAAAGCCCTTAATGCTGCAACAGAAGACCAAAGTGCTTAGAAAAGAAGAAGAATTTAAGCACAATTATCTAGGATTATCTATGGATTCAAACATTTTCTTGCATTTCTCTGTCACTGTTGTCCTTCATAAACATTTCTCTACCTGGTGTTGCTGTGTTTCTGTATTCTCACCTAACGTTGCTTCCTCTGTAGGTCATTATGGTGACAGGTGACCATCCAATCACAGCCAAGGCCATTGCTAAGGGTGTCGGCATCATTTCAGAGGGAAATGAAACTGTGGAAGACATCGCTGCTCGTCTGAACATCCCTGTGAGCCAAGTTAACCCCAGGTAAGGTGGGAAGCAAACATTAATCCATGTACCATTGTTTTAATGAAGAAAACTGAATGTGGATTCATGATAAAGATTGAAGCAAACTGTTCATATAAATTCTGTTTTTTGTTCTACAGGGATGCTAAGGCCTGCGTCATCCACGGCACAGATCTTAAAGATCTGAGTCAGGACCAAATCGATGACATTTTGAGGAACCACACAGAGATCGTCTTTGCTAGAACCTCCCCACAGCAGAAACTCATCATTGTAGAAGGCTGCCAGCGACAGGTTCGTAAAGGCAGCAGCCATTACGGTCAATTACAGATGTCCTTCATTTTGGCTCTAATGTAAAACTTTGCCTCCAGGGAGCCATAGTGGCTGTAACGGGGGATGGCGTGAACGATTCTCCTGCCCTGAAGAAGGCCGACATCGGCGTTGCTATGGGGATTTCAGGCTCTGACGTTTCCAAGCAAGCAGCGGACATGATTCTGCTGGACGACAACTTTGCCTCCATTGTCACTGGAGTGGAAGAAGGTTAGTGATTCAAAAACAAGGAATGAGTGAGAGATTGGAGCAAGAAAAAAAACAAAAAAAAACACCTGGTTAGGAACTGAGAAAGGGCCTAAAACTGCATCAGTACTGTGGAAATCCATCTTTGCAGAGCTGAAATAAAGACCGTCCATGTTTTGCTTTAAGGACGCCTGATTTTTGACAACCTGAAGAAGTCCATCGCCTACACTCTGACCAGCAACATCCCAGAGATCACGCCATTCCTGTTCTTCATCCTGGTTAACATCCCACTGCCCCTGGGTACCATCACCATCCTCTGCATTGACCTGGGAACCGACATGGTGAGAACGAAACATCAGTCAGGACACTGAAGCTTTGATCACATCCAGGCTTTAGAAATATCCCTGTTCAATCCATTGTTTTCAATTTATACAGGAGTCTCCAGGTTCCGCATTTATAAACACTGATGACAGATGGAAAAGGCAACACATCTGTTTGCAGTGGGAATCAAAATATTTGAGCTGTGAACATTCAAACAGTATTAATCACGTTCTCTTTATAACAGAGGAGCACTGAGTAGATCTGCAAACTGAATAATGTATTTATGTGTAAATGTGTCTGAACTAAAGAATGATAACTTCAAATGAACACAAGGTGGCAGTGTGGGAACATTATTTAAAGGAGCCTTTGTTAAAAGTTTTTTTTTTTTTTTTTTTCGTTTTTATTCTCCTTAAGAATAACGGAAATTAATGAACAATAAGCAATTGTTTCTGGTGTTAACAAATTTAAAGTTAAACTGTTTTATTTTATATCGGGTTCAGAACAAAATATAACAAATCTTAGCTGCTTTGTTCTACATATGTTTTTTTTAATAAAGACTAACATTCATGGGTTTATCTTACAAATCAAAAAGCCAACACTATCACAATTTAAAAAAACAGATCAACCTAACAGCTGTGGATTTGGACTGTGGGAGGAAGCTGGAGTAACTGGAGAGAACCCATACAGCATGGGGAGAACATGCAGAAAGACCAGACTGCACCGCTGTTCATCCTGATATTCTAACTTTATAACCAGCACCTGTATTCATTTTCAAAACATGTGATTTCTGTCTGTGAACTCTTTAAATACTGATTCTGTTAGAAATGCAGCTTCCTGATCAAACAAACCTAATCTGCCGGTTCTGTTTCAGGTTCCTGCCATCTCTCTCGCCTATGAAGCAGCAGAAAGTGACATCATGAAGCGCCAGCCAAGGAACCCACTGAGGGACAAACTGGTCAATGAGAGACTCATCAGTATCGCCTATGGACAGATCGGTGGGTTCAGTTACTCTTCACACCATAAGTAATTTGATCAGAGTTTAAGAAGCTACACAAGGAGTTGGACATAAAGTCCCATAATCTCATTTAGTTTATAAAACATACTAAACAAGTGGAAATAAATCAATTATTCACGTTGGTGAATGTTCCCCTAGTTTTATTGATGTAGCGTTCTAACTATGATCATCAGATAAATAAGGCTATCAGAGATTCTCTCCTGAAAACATTCTGCAGCAGCACCTCATCTCTGCAGCTTTTCACATGTAAACTTCTCAGGTGAGCAATGCTGCACATTAATTCCCATTCATCCATTTCCCGTCACGCTTATCCCAAGCAGGGTTGCAAGGGGTGCTGGTGCGTATCTCCAGCTGTCTACAGGCGAGAGGCGGGGTCCACCCTGGACAGTTCGCCAATCCATCGCACATCAACAGAGACAAACAGGATAAACAACCATTCACGCACACACTCACACTTAAGGAGAATTTAGAGAAGCCAATTAACCTAACAGTCATGTTAGGTCTCCGGAGTACCCGGAGAGGACCCACTCATGCTCAGGAAGAACATGCAAGCTCCCTGAAGAAAGACCCCGGGTGGGGAAACGAACCCATTGCAAAGCAACAGTGCTACCCACTGCGCCACTTAGCAACCTAGCATTTATTCCCTTTAATGTATTTATTAAGTACCGATTTACAACACCTCATCGTAAGGCTTTTTACAAGCTGTTTACTCCTTGATAAACATCATTCTTAGAACAGTGCTAACATCAGCCCACCTTGCTATCTGCCCTTCCCTCTAAAGTGGTGATTCCAACATTCAGGGACTCGTCAAGAACTGTTGCTGCTTGTGTCCCTTTTACCTGTTGTGTAAGAGACCGGATGGTGTTGGTAAACAAACCATGGCTGGCTGCTAATGTTGCTAAAACTGCATAACACAAGTCAGATTCCCCTCAGAAGAGGGGTAATAGAGGGCTCCATATTAGCTCTATATAACTTCTTTCTTTTGATGTAACAGAAAAATGAATCCGTCTCAAAAATCTGCACATCTGGTCAGCCTGATAGGAGGAGCCTCTAACTGGAGGAACATCAGAATCAAACACTTTCATCATATGAACAATTTTCTACACATTTTAGAGAAATAAAACATGTAATATTTACTTTCATTTGATCTGATTGTTGCTTTAGTTAAAATGGCCTCTTCAACCTGTTTTTCCACAAATTTGTTACAAGCCTCTGCTAACCAGTGCGCTACCCTCTTTTCTTACAGGCATGATCCAAGCTCTCGGAGGCTTCTTTGCTTATTTCGTCATCATGGCTGAAAACGGTTTCCTGCCATCTCTGCTGGTTGGTATCCGACTGAACTGGGACGATCGCTCCAACAACGACCTTGAGGACAGCTATGGACAGCAATGGGTAGGAACTGCAGCTGCCACATCCCTGTTAGCCTGATGAGCTTCTGTTTGTTCTCATGAGGCCTGTATTCTAAACCATTTGATTAAAATATCTATGCTAACACTTCCTGTCCTTGTTTGGATAGATTTTAACCATGTGGAAAAACTTTGTGATGATGGTATAAAAAAGAGCATCGGCATCATCACTAACTATATTGTGTTTTCCTGCACAGACCTATGAGCAGCGTAAGATAGTAGAGTTCACGTGCCACACAGCTTTCTTTGTCAGCATCGTGGTGGTGCAGTGGGCCGACGTCATTATCTGCAAGACTAGACGCAACTCTGTGTTCCAGCAGGGAATGAAGTGAGTCAGAAATCCTCTTTAGATACAATAACCTGTCTTTTATTTTTTTATATTTGATACCCAGTGCAATAGCTATATATATAAATACCGATGTTAATACCCTGTGCAATAACCATGTATAATAATGCTGCTAAATAAGAGACTTCAGCTGTCATATATACAATACAGACCAAAAGCTTGGACACACCTTCTCATTCAGAGTTTTCTTTATTTTCATGACCATGAAAATTGAAGATTCACACCGAAGGCATCAAAACTATGAATTAATACTTGTGGAATTATATACTTAACAAAAGTATAGTAAGTAGTAGTAAAAGTAGTGTTGCGCTGAAGCAATTTTTTGGCCCTGATATCTGATACCTGGCTCTGCAGTGTCGGCCGATACCGATACCATCTGTTTAAAATTGATGTGTGTGTATATATGAAGAACTACATACTACTTGGATGTAAAATAATTGCCATCATGTCTTTGTCAAGCTGCTGCCTACCTTTGTGAAGCAGGAAAAAGACTAATACAAAGTGGATCTAGTAGAACTTTTTATTGCCTACCTGGAATGGGTGACAATAGTTGAATAAACTTTTGGCTCTCAAAATGGTATCGGCCCTATTTGTTGATACTCGCTGATACCGATACCACCATTTTAGTGCTGGATCGGGGCCGTGTCCGATACTGGTATCTGTATCGGTGCAACACTAAAAAAGTGTTTAACAACTGAAAATATGTCTTTATATTCTAGGCTCTTCAAAGAAGCCACTTTTTGCTTTGATTATTGCTTCGCAAACTCTTGGCATTCTCTTGAGAGCCTCCAGAGGTCGTCACCTGAAATGGTTTTCCAACAGTCTTGAAGGAGTTCCCAGAGATGCTTAGACCTTGTTGGAACTTTTGCCTTCACTCTGTGGTCCAGCTCACTCCAAACCATCTCGATTGGGTTCAGGTCCGGTGATTGTGAAGCCCAGGTCATTTGGCGCAGCACCCTATCACTCTCCTTGGTCAATAGTCCTTACACAGCCTGGAGGAGTGTTTGGGGTCATTGTCCTGTTGAAAAATAAATCATGGTCCAACTAAATGCAAACTGGATGGAATAGCATGCCGTTGCAAGGTGTTGTGGTAGCCATGCTGGTTCAGTATGCCTTCAATTTTGAATAAATCCCCAACAGTGTCACCAACAAAGCACCCCTACACCATCACACCTCCTCCTCCATGCTTCACAGTGGGAACCAGGCATGTAGAATCCATCCGTTCACCTCTTCTTAGTCGCACAAAGACACAATGGTTGGAACCAAAGATCTCAGATTTGGACTCATCAGACCAAAGCACAGATTTCCACTGGTCTAATGTCCATTCATTGTGTGCCGATGTAACGAGTAAGTTTCTCCACTGAGAGATCAATAAAGCCAATCAATAAATGTTTTTACGTCCAAGCTTTTATTCACCTTCACTGTACCTTTAGATGATGGTAGTTTGACTGGAAAACTTTTAACAGATTAATGGTGAATTATTGAACTAGATATGTTATTTTAAAGGTTTTGTTTTTTCTAAATATGCAATGAGGATAGACAGATTTATATAAACTGCAGTTCCTCACTGCAGTCACAAGGTGGCACCAAAAAACAAGATGTGCTAACACACGGTTTCTCTAACCTGAATCAAACAAACAGTTGAATGTTTGTTTTTTTTTAATCGAACTTTGGGTTCTTTCATCTGTTATTTTGGATGTCCTTGCTAGTGCTGAGTCTTAGATTCTTGTTTCCTGAGTCCTTCCTGCATTTTTCTCTCTTTCCAGGAACAAGATTCTAATATTTGGCCTGTTTGAGGAAACTGCTCTGGCTGCTTTCCTGTCCTACTGCCCAGGGATGGACGTGGCGTTACGGATGTACCCACTAAAGTAAGAAGCTTCAACATGCTCAGTCTCTGATCCTAGTGATACTGTCCTACTTTGTTTGTGGTTTTAGCAGATCATTGAAATGCTAGTATAGATAATTCAGTAGTAAAACCTTTTATTCAGCAGTATCTGTTCTTTGTTCCTCCTTTTGGAAGCCTGATCTGCTCTCACTCCTAATCACGTTCTCCCTCAGGCCCAGCTGGTGGTTCTGTGCGTTCCCGTACAGTTTCCTCATCTTTGTTTACGATGAGATCCGAAAACTCATCCTTCGCCGAAACCCTGGAGGTAAGCTCCCACTCAAACACACGCAGTGTGAGCCGCAGCCTTTGAATGACCAGAAGAAACTCATGAAGCTGGATTTCTAAGTAAAGCCATTCAGACTGAATTCAGGTAGTAACTGTTTGCTCCTTCTTCTTCTCTTCCTTTTTCCTTTCTGTCTTTGCAGGCTGGGTGGAAAAAGAGACTTACTATTAAATCAAAGCATCATTTTCTGACTCCATCCTTCCCTGAATCATCCCTCCCTCCTTCCCCCTCTTTCCTCCTTCAGATCATCTGTCTCTCATTTTGTTCTGTCCCAAAAAAAACAAGAAAATGTTTACTCTGCTCATCTCCTCTCCATTCCTTAATCTTCATTTCTACACTAACTAAAGCCACAACTGCCAAGGCAACTAGAGGACCAACATCAGAAGGGGTGAGGATGGGGGAGGAGCGGCCTTGTACAAGCTCCCCCATCCTCTCTGCCCCTTTTGCCCATTTTTCTATCTAAAGTCTGTCCAGCTCTTACCTGCCAGAAACACTGCCGATGTTATTCCTCCACCGCTGGCTGCTGCCGCTCAGCGCTAGCGCGCTCCAATTTCACCGCCGTCAGGAGCGCCACAAACATCCGATTCCAAGAGCAAACCGGACTGTTCTCCAGAAACCACGGTGCTTCCCGTCTTGGCATCCGGAGCGAGCGGATGTTGCTTTTTTATTTCCCGGATCCAGTTCCGTAATCACTGCCGTTCCTCCCTCCTTCTCTTCACTCAGTGCCAGAACTCCGCAGCCGTCCTCCTCTTCCTCATCCTCTGTAAAACAACCAGTCCCACCAGTAATCTAAGCGCTCGTTCCCACCCCCAGTAGGATGGAATTAAAGGTGCAACTTATTCCCTCCCTGCCCCCTCCCGTCCCTGTTTTTTTTCTGTTTAATGTTTTCTAATAGACGACTGCATATTTTTTAAATTTTTTGCTTTGTTTCTTCTTTTTTTTTTTAAGTTAGTGGGTCTGAGAGCTGCTTGTTTTCATTCAGACATGACAAAGCACACCTTCCCTCCTGCACCCCTATCAACCCCCCCTCCTCCCCCTGCCTGTCGATCTGTCCCAGTTGTCTGTCTGTGAACACCGTGGAATCCCTCCACCCTCCTGTAACTCCTGTTCAGATTTCACTGCTGTTCTGCAACCTGCCTCCTCTCCCTCACCTGAGCTCCGTCCCTCTTTAAAAGAATAAAGTTAGCCATCTCTCTGTGTTCTAGAAAAAGAGATTTCTCTCCAGTTTCATTCTTTAGACCTGTGAAAACACTTGGAATAAGGCCTTGTACCTTAGCTCCTGAAACAGCAGCAGACATAAAAATAAGGAAGAAAAATGAAATAAAAAAGAAGGATCTCTCTTTTTCAGCTTGGTCTCCAGTTTGTTTTTGTGTGGAGTTATGTCAGAAAATGGAAATAAATTCTGTGACCAACTCTTATGTGTAGCAAGTGTCAAGTTGTTCTTTTCCTTAGCTTCATCAAATCATTCAAAAGAATGAAAGAACTTGATTCTGTTTGAAGAATGAAAGCAATGAGAAAAAAAAGAAAGATGCATTTTCCTAAAAGAAGAAAAAACATCAAACGAGTTAAGGCGTATGATAGTTAAGCTGATATTTAAGCTAATTACTTGTGTTAAAATCTTTTTATTCCTCAGGAATAAATCTTCATCTCACTTCATGCAGAACTTTCCGTTCCTAAACTACAGTTTGTTTGTTGTTTTTCTAAATCTTAAAGACAATCATCCATCAGCTGATGTGAAACTTAATCAGAAAATGATTTTACTCTATCAGCCACTTAGTTATTTCCTTTGTTTAAAGCAAAATGCGTAATAAAAATCCTGTTTCAAATTTGGCTTGTACAGAAATCAGTTCAAACAGCACGTTTCTGCTGATTCTGAGTAACTGAATCACTTTAAGGAGAACAGATCAGTTGATTGGATAGATGGTTGGATAAGTGAAAGCACAAAGAGAAGCTCACTGATGGCTGCAGCGCTGCTACCATCTACTTTACTTTTTTTTTTTTATGTATACACCAGTACTGTAGCTCACTCTGGTTACATATAGTTTTCTGAAAGATTAACCTCTTCTGCTAGTTTATCTATTTGTGTTTAAGCTTAATATTTTCCCTTAGTAAATAAAGCCCTTTGTGTATATTCACAATAATGGTTATGATGCTGTACATGTGAGCAGGGGTTTGATAAGGAAGTGATAAGTTGGCACCGCTTAGCAAATTTGTAAAAATAATGAACAGTTAAAGATCCATTGCTAAAAAAACACAATAAAAATATTCGATTCCACGAAGGATGAGACTCCAACACTAAGAACGTTAGTGTTTACTAAAGCTGCGGAGGAGTTCAGACGTGGCTGCTGAGTCAAGGGAGGAGTGAGTAAACACCTGATTACTGATTCTACACTGGAAAATTGATCTAGAAATAATAAAAAATTCTGAAATTAAGTATATTTACCCTTAATTTGAGTAGGTAAATAAGATGGTTTGCCAATGGAATTACTGTTTTTACTCTTAAAATAAGATAATTAGATAATATGCACTAAAAATAAGACAATCCAATTGTGTTTTCTTATTTTAAGTGTAAATTGTCTTGTTGCCTTGGCAAAATGTGTCTCACCTCCTCACTCCAAGAACAAATGCACTTATTTTAGGAAAAATGACTTATCTAGATTTGGATTTTTTTCCAGTGTACTGATAGCAATGCTATTTTTGTTTCTACGGTCTAAGTACAAACAACATAAGTTATTGAAGAAGATTAAATTCAGAGCTCATCAACAGGGCATTTACTGATGAAAGGGCATTTTAATGTATTTAATGTTCAATTCAGCACGTTTGTATAATAATTCACAATACGTTAGTGCATAAATAAAAATAGTGCATAAATGTCAATTACGGGGGGCTGAATCACTTGAGGGGGCGTTATAGAGATTGATGACCACAGGAAGGAATGATTTCCTGTGGTGCATTCAAAGCCCTTTATGGAATTAAAACGTTTTAGCCTACGAGTTTGTTAATTTTATTTAATTTTGATATGTCCAAACTTCATGTTGTCTCTGCGTTTGTTAGGAACAGGATTGCCTTTTTCCTACATGTTCTGATTGGAGGATCTAGGGAGGATTTGTTCTAGGGAGTTGTAGTTGCTGTAGATCAATTTATTTCATTAGTATAGGTTGGTCTACAAACACGCTGAGCTGTTGCTTCAATGCAACACATTGCAGTCCGGTCAGGGCTCTATTAAATGGCTACACCAGTTGCACTATCCAACTTTCTGATAGTTCTGTCCGACTGCCGGCGGATGCTGCACATGTCTGTTTATGTCAGCCCGTTGCACCAAGCGCTGGAATTCTGTTTAGGCTCAAAAAGGTCTAAACAGCATCGGGATTCATGCTTGGTGTATATAAACTTATCATGATTTCTCTTTTTTTTTTTTTTAAAGAGGTATATAACTTCACTATGCTTCTTTAAAGTTTAAATAAAACTAGAAACACTTGAAAGAAAACAAATCTGCCATTTTAGCGGAGCAGCACAAATGATAAGTTCTTGTTTAAATAAAAGCTGCAATGGAGCAACAAAGGTCTTCAGTTACCTACAAATAAACACAACAGGATCAATGTAAATGGAGCAGCCAGCCTCATCAGCCTCTATTCAATTTTTAAAAAGTTATATGAAAACATCAAATATGTTGTTTCTGTGGCAAAACCAAGGAGCAGTGGAAATAAGTCCACTCGTCCTGGAACAGGATAACTGCTCACAGCAGCTGTCAGAGCTCTGTTCTCTCCAGGCAGCACACAGGGGGAGCAGTTTTCAGGAATAAATGGTTATACAGCGAAATCCTACTTAGTGAAGGAAAGATCGATCAAATTTAAACTGTTTGGATGGATTTCCATCCTTTTGTGTTTTGCGAAATAAAAGTAAGGATTTTCAACGTCAAACATTTTCAAACGAACTGTTATTTTGAGCTTTAGTTTCCACAGATAAACTGAGAAAACTGAGGCGACGTGCTGGAAGAAGCACAACTCTGAAACCTGCTCAGCTGTTACACCCACAACCTGGAGCTCAGCTCAGCATGAGTGATCACAAAACCAAAACATCCAAGATGGTGGCTCCAGTATAACCTATAACCTGTTTAACAGCTGAAGCAGCTATTCCCACCAACCCGTCCACATCATGCACCAAACACCCTGCTCTCTTGGATTTAAGATCTGAGAGAAAAATGTCATTGGTACCAAAAGCCAGAAAAAAGCTGCAGCAGCTGACAGAGTTTCCCTCTGAATAACTGGACCAGATCTGCAAGAGTCTGGAACCATGTGAGGTTCTCTCATGTTTCAACAGCTCCACCATCATCCGGGTCACCATAATGCACTGCAAAAAATGTAAATCTAAATAAGTCATTTTTGCCCAAATTAAGTGCATTTGTTCTTGAATTGAGGAGGTAAGTGAGACACTTTGCCAATGGAACAAGACAATTTACATTTAAAATAAGAAAAAAAACAATTGCTTTGTCTCATTTTAAGTGTATATTATCTAATTATCTTGTTTTAGGAGTAAAAATACTTATTCCATTGGCAGATCATCTTATTTACCTGCTCAAATTAAGGGTAAATACACCTAATTTAAGACTTTTACTTATTTCTAGATGTTTTTTTACAATGTGGGGCCTAAACGACTACAGACATGTAGGTTGGCACCTAAAAACCAAGGTTTTAGAGGAATGACTTTATAAATTCTGTCATGGCAACCATAAAACAAAGTTAAATCAGAGGCAACCGGACTGTATTATTACACTCCAAAAAAAATTAATCTAGATAAGTTATTTTTTCTTAAAATAAATGCATTCTTTCTTTAAATAAGGAGGTAAATGAGACACTTTGCCGGTGAGTGCATATTATCTATCTTTTTAAAGAGTAAAAATGCTAATTAAATTGGCAAATTTCCTACTTAAATTAAGAGGAAATACGATTAAGAATTTGTTGCTGTTTCTAGATCGTTTTTTCAGTGTATTATCTGTATTTGAAGCGTTGATGTTTTTAAGCACCTGGAGGTCCGTCCTCCTGAGCTCATTCCAATCAAAGATCCAGCCGTCATATTTCTGGGTCTTAGGAGTCTGTTGTTTTTCTGTGAGTTTTGTGTTTGTTTATTTGAATCATCAGGAGCATTTTTGTGTATGAAATTAGTTTTACGACAGAGTTATAGATGCTTGGAAGATTAAACCACATTTCCTCCTCCCCGTACAGATATGGCTTCTCTCTTCTTTCTAACAGGCTGTTCTGTGGCTGCTGTGCAGGGAAAGAAATAATTTGATTTGAGTTTTCTAGAACAGCGACGCATCCAAAAGCTAAAGGACACTGGGTCCAGAGACGAGGGTTAAAGTCACTGGTCTAGAAGATTCTCCAGTGAGCGTTCCATTGGTCAGCTTTGGCTTTTAAGGGAGTCGATGCAACCAGCTGGTTTTCCTTAGAAAACATTGAACCAGTCTGACTGGAAGGTCCGGTTGAATTGCCTTGAGGTGTTGTGAACTGGTTCTATATAAATAAACGGAAGTGAATTGAAGTGAATTTACTCGGCTGGATGCAACTTTCTTCAGCACTTGATCAGCTCAAACAATATATTCCTCAGTGTCTGATTATTTAAAACCTGCCTTTCAGTTTCTGTAATTATAAGGGCTGCAAGTAACGATTAGCAAATCGATTAATGTGTTGATAATTTGTTTTGATTAATAATCAGATAGCCAAAGGTTCCTTAAAGAAGGCTTTTGAGGAGTTCTGGGTAGAGCATACCGACAGACAAACAAATAAAAAAAGATCTTAAATGCAAAATGATAAAAACATTTTTATTTTATTTTTTTACATTCCTGTTTCGGATGGTTATGTAATTCTTTTTAAATGATCTATTTCGGTTGTGAAAAAGCTTCTTTTTACTAATATTTAAATAAAATCTGTTTGGATTTTAGCTGAAACAATTAAAGGTTATTGTCAACTAAATTAGTAATCGATTACTTGTTAACTGGAGTATAGAGACTGTAAATTTTAGTAAATTTGCTGCTCTAAGGGGATTCCTCTTTCAGCTTAAGTCACATTTTAGACTCTTTACACTCCTGTGAACAATCGATCACTAAATCAGTTGACGATTATTTCAATAATCAATTAATCCGATTGTTTGAGCCCTAGTAATTGGTTAAAAATATTTGAGAACATCTCCTGATGTGAGAACCTCTGCTGAGATTAATTTAACAATCAGCTACAGCATCCAGAAATATAACCAGAGACAGAGGCTATGAATGAAGCCTGCATAGAAACTGTAGAGCAGCGGTCCCCAACCACAGGGCCGCGGACCGGTCCGTCAGTCATTTGGTACCGGGCTGCACAGAAAAAATATATATATATAATGTATTGATGATCAGAGTCTAAGTG